CCCTGCTCTAGAGCCATTTGGTCCCCGTTTTGTTTTGCCTAAATGTAACAAATAGAGGCAGGAGCTGTTGCCGCCTCCATCTGTCTAATGAACGGATTAAGGCGTGAAGGGGTCGATGGGTAGAAGTCATATCATCACTGTTATGCTCCTAATGGTTTTTTTTGTTTTGTTAGGTTTTTTTTTTCTCCCGAACTTAAAGGCAATCCCTTTCTTGTTAACTATGAAAAAAAGAGGCATCTAAGAGAGGCCATGGCTTTGTGGCTTTGTGGGTTCATAACAGTTTAGTCTCATCTGGTTCCAGATCAAAAATCGGTAGAGATTTGCTAGATCTATATGTCTATATTTTGGATAACAGGGCAGGAAAAGAAAAATAATGCAAATAGCATCTGGTAGTTGTGGAGCAGAACTGCTGAAGTTCCCTAAAAATTTCATCTAAGACCTTTGTGTCCGACCTGCGTAATTAATTATTTTATTTAGCTAATTTAGCATTTCAGAAAAGTTTTTAAAAGTGTTTCTAATTTAACTTTAAGTTAACTTCTAGCAGATTTGTATCCTTAACTTTGAACTGAAAATAAATAAAATACTTACACATTTGTGACCTGCAGTGTTTTTTGGACTAGAGATTGACTGGTGCAGTTTTTTTATTATTATTGTGATTTCTGGACAATAAGAACCTTTTTGTTCTTTCATGGTGATTCTGATGCTTTACTACTATTTTCAGGATAAATTAATTAATATTAATTAATAATAATAATCCAGATGAATTTTAAAAAAATATGATGACCACTTTATAATTGAACTTTATTGATCTCACATTGGAGAAATGTACCTCTGCATTTAACCCTTCCCCTTGGGGAGCAGTGGGCTGCCATGGTGCGGCGCCCGGGCAGCAGCGTGGGGTTAAGGGTCTTTGCTCAGGGACCCAGAGTGGCAGTCTCTAGGAGTGGGACTCAAACTCAAAACCTCAGGATTCAAAGCTCTATGCCCTGCCCACTAGGCCGCCGCTCCCCATATATAAAGAACTTTAATATAATCTTATAGGATTTCTTAAGAAGCACCAACTTTTATGTAATCTGTGATTTTATGCAGAAAAACTCTAATTTCTTAACCTGGAATTTTCCAAACCAAATAAATTCCTTCAAGTTCTGGGAATGGATTTTTCTAAAAGCCTCAGTTTCTACTAGAATAAAAGAAGGATTTTTGTTTAAGGTTTGTCAAACATCCTCCTAAACATTGTGAAAAAAAAATAGTCTGCAACTAAACATATAATTAACCTTGGGAACAATATTTTAGCACCTCACTGTAAATTAAAGGGAGAGAAGTTTTCACCTGAACGTTGATGCATTCAAGTAGGTTTTAGCAAAAACACTTTAAAAGATAAATAACTGCGGCTTAGTAAAACACACATTAGAGAGACAGAAAACTGTTTTCAGCCTATGAGTTTTACTTTCATTATTAAAACTCTCTTCTTTTTAGTTCCCTTCAAAATCTAGTAGGTGGAAGGAAGAAGAATAGGGAAATAAAAAGTCCCCAAATCAAAGCTTAGAGAGATTAGAATAAAATACCCCTTAATTCTTTGTGAATGCGTGACTGACTGAGTAAATCTACAACCTGACTGCCAGACGAGCCAAGACATGTTCAGCTGTCCTCAGCTTCATAATCAACTCATCGCAATGCTTTACATTTTCAGGGCCACAGATTTACAGATACATACTTACTGCTGATGTGACCGTGAATCCGGAGCTACGCATCAAGTAAAAGGTGAAAGGAAAGGTGTGTCTGCATCTTATGCAAACCAATGAGTCTATTCTATCAGTCTGTGTTAAAAAACTCACTGGAACAAAAATAAAAGGCTTCCATTTGGCAATAAATCCAGAAAAGCAACAGACATGAACTGATGGACAGAATGATGGTCCTGATTCCAGACATTTGACTGATTCTATAATTATATATTTTTAGCATGTAAATGGATTGGAGACAGAATTAGAGGAGAGAAGTTGATTCCCTGAAAGGAAGAAATGTAGACTGCATGAAATTAAATACAAGTAAGTCGTTTTTTCTTAAAATGTATCTTTTTTCCCTTTTTTTTTTTTTTAGCAGACAATTTACCAATGGAATAAGATCATTAACATTTAAAATAAGAGAAAAAAAAAAAACACCAACAGCTCTATTATCTTATTTTAAGGGTAAAATTTCTCTTTCCATTGCCAGATCATCTATATTAAATTAAGGGGAAATACACCTTTTTAAAAGACTGAACTCACCGAACCTTTACCTTTTTTTAGGAGTTGAGAATGTATTTTTTGTGGAACAGCTTTATTTTGTCATGATGTCCACTAGGGGGAACTCTTGCTCCCTTCTGTTCTCCTCCTTGAACACTAACAATTGAATGGACAACAATTAAGCTTTTTTTTTTTTTTTTAATATTTGATTTGGATAAAGTGTAAAGCAGTGTTCAGAGCCTGTGCCTGAAGCTATTTTCTCTATTCTGCATCATGTGTACACTAAAAACATTTATATATAAATAGTTTACAAAACCCAAAGCGGTTAACAACTGAGTGCACTAATGAGAGGAGTTTGATATTATGCACAACTCATGAACTGAGCAAAGCTCCACTTGTGTCATTAAATCTGGTCTAGTTTATTTAAAGGTGAGCATTAGAAAAGCTGGGATATTTTGTTCTAGCTTTAACTATTGTTTTAGACTGTTTTTATGTGAGTTTTTATGTAAATTCACATGAAAAGTCATTATGCTGAGAACCTGCTGCAGGCAGCGAGGGAGGCTGAATGCTACACAGATGAGTACAGGAATGAAGCCACAGCTTCCAGGGATTTCTGTGGTTACATTCTGTTCTTTACTCATCATAACGGTAATAAGATTTTATTTAACAACTCAGATGTTATGTGAGTGGATCAGTAACCACGTAGTGCATCAAAAGTTGCTCCTAAAACTTAACAGACTTGTTTTCAATCAACGTTCCAGATGTTTTTCCTTTTATTGAATTAGGAAAATATATAACTGATCATGTTTATTGGTAATTTATGTAGATAGCTGCTCTGTTTATCTGAGCAAGGAGAAGGAGAAATAAAAAAACACCCTGGCTAAACTGCAAATGCTATATGACCTTATTTCTCTCCATATCGGTGAAACTTGCACATTCTATTTCTGTTTCTTCAGTTTATTTATGGTAAAACAAGAGTTAAACAGTGAGCTTAAACACAATTGTGGTCAGACAAGGGAAAAAAAAGAAAAAGCACACAGTTTAACAAGAATCCAAAACTTCAGAAAGCAACTGTAACCTGAACAGAGCTCCAGTTTCAATACCCTCTCGCTGCTCTCAGAGAAAATCCTGTTTCCTTTAAGTTTCACTATATCGCTCATGTTTTTATGTAATATGCTTTTATAAACTGCCAGCTCATTTCTCTCTTCTTGAGAAAGTGTCGACTTTTTACCCAGTTTTAGAAAGCAAACTGTTCAGATGGAAATTTGTTGGATGGACGGGTGGTTGTGTTGTTATTTCACTGTTTACATAAATAGGAACTGAACAGGTGTGTGTGACTAAATGACCAGGCCCCAAAGGGATGACATCATCATTCGGGCTTCCCGAAATTGGTTCAAATCGTAGTAATTTTAGCATATGTGAAATTCTGACTATGATGTAATAAAATAACTAAATAAAAATGTTGTTTAGCAATAAGAAATAATACAGGTATTTCTAATTGACGTTAAAAAAAATTGAAATTAGCCCTAATTTAAAATTTGGCAGAGAGGAAAAAAATATTGTCTTTATTTCATAATATAGATCTGTTTTCAGCTCTATAGTAAAATCCCCAGAAAATAAGCTGAAATAATTTTAACAAGCCAAAGTTAGCTAAATCTAAAACATTGATTCTAAAGCATTGATTTCAGAAGTTTTATTTGAAAAAAAACTTTCATTTATTTAATTTTCAAATAACTTTATGTTAAAAAAATTTATTTTTATGTTAAATTTGTGATTTTAAAAATTATTAAAGCAATATTTATACATAATTACTCAGTATGTACGTCACATATGTACCTAATACTTATCTCTATCCATTCTTGCAATAATTATTTACATTATTTACAAATTTCTACCCAGATGTTCTAAAATCAGCGTTTTTTAAAAACACTTGAGATTCACAAGTTAAATAAAGACAAGCTGGTAAAATGTTGAGTGATACAAATGATCTCTATAAATGTTCAGATGGACGATGAGATAAATCATGGCTCTGAAAAAAGGAAAAAAAGAGTAAAGTTTGAAGGTTTTGCCTTTAGGTCTAATTCACAAATGAGAAATTCCTGGATGCATATTAACCATTAACCTGGATTAACCATTACGCAGACATTAAACATTAGATAAAACATAAAATAAATGAAATGCTAAAAAAAATCTGTATATAAAGCACGAAACACCAGTGAACCCGTCTTATTATATTTTTAACATGATTTACTTCCATTTTTGCAATTTTAGTAATGCAAGAAAAAAGAAAAGAAAAGAAAAGAAAGAAATCGGTTTCAACATTCACCAAAGGAAGTGTTTCTATTTGGGTCCAACTGCAGAGTAAAAAGGTAAGACACATTCAAGGAAACATTGTGTCATTAATAGTGAGATGATAATGGAAAATCCGCCTTTTTGAGAGCCTATAAATATGTCAATAAGGGTAGAGTAAATCATTAATAGGCTCAGTTTATGGTCAATACTTCTGACCCAGCTTGTGAAGTCATGCATGTCCTGTTTGGTGAGTAGTGAGGTAATCCTTGTAAACGCTGCTTCCCTTTTTCTGCTCATCATCCAGAGAGAAAGCAAAGACTCTGCAGGGATGAACACAGCAGGCTGCAGGGCAGGATCCAGCATGGGCTCCGATCATTTGCCTCCTACTGTAATCACTGCAGTTACTTTTAGCTGAGGCATAATGTTACAGACTATTCTGAACTCCTGCAGCATGGGGTGGGGGGTGAACAGGGGAGGGAGGGGTTCTGCGCAGAGATCACAGAGAGGCGCTCCTCCAAACACGCGCCTCAGACAGACTGTAAGGCATTGTTCTGCTCGCTGACTGACTGCTTTCCCTCTTTTAATCAGTCTGACCGTCTCCTCCCCGCAGTGTTCCTGTGCTACATGGCCTCCACCGCCCGCAGCGCGCCTCTGACGGACGCACTTGTTGAGAAGCCGCCGTTTCAGGAGATCCTGCGGAGCAGCCGCAGCTTGACGCAAAAGATCCTGGAGTCCGTGGAGGACACGCACAAATCCTGCGTTCATTTACAGGTGAGGGGGGGGCTGTCACCCCTGATGGGGGGTGGTGGGGGGGGGGGGGGTATTAATGCGGACTTTAAACATGGTCTGCTGCGTCATTGAAACGCTTAGTCAGGAGAAAAAGAGGCTCAAAGAAAATCGTTTCTCTGCTTCTCACAACGCATCAAGTGTTTTAACATACAGAAGTATGGAGTTAGATTGGGACCATAAAGTTTATTTAAAAAGAAAAATAAATAAAATATAAATAAATATATATTTTTTTTTTTTGCGGCACCAGTGGCCGGTTTTTCTGACAGTAGGCTGACATGAAAGGGGAATGAGAGAGGGGGAGGATGGGGTCCAAGGCCCCCTTACACCGCTGAGCCACCTGCACGCCCCTGAGAAAGCAGTTTAAGCATTTGCTCAGAAACTGAAAATTATTTTACAAAGCATTGAAAAAAGGTTTAAAACTAAAAAAAAGTTAAACAAAATTGTAGATTCTAGTTTTTATAGTTTAAAATGTTTTGTTTGTTTCATACTGCTAGCAATGTGTGGAGGCCAGTGATGGGACTAACGGCGTTGAAAGTAACGGCGTTACTAACGCCGTTACCTTGTTTTAGTAACGAGTAATCTAACTAATTACTTTGACTGTAACTATAACGCAGTTACCATTGCCGACACCCCGTTACTGCGCGTTACTCAGGTCGCACAATGAACCTCTTTTCATGATAGGACTCTAAGCGCCTTGTCATGAGAGAGGGGAGGATGAGAATGGCTGATGTATAGTGAGATTCCGTCTGTCAGTTGGGTAGGTGGGTGTTTCTGCTGGTGGCTGTTAACGTACAGCACACACAGAGAAATGGAGAGTGAGGAGGACTCCAGCAGCAAAACAGGATTTTCCAGATGGAAATACCGGTGTTACGTCGAGCTGCGTTTCCCCATCAGATACGGTTTCCCCTGCATCTCCGCACAGCGCAGGCGGCACGAGTCACCGCGCAAGCGACAGGAAACGAGCATGCTCGCTAAAGGCGCGCAACAGTCGCCCTGTGCTCGCGCCACAGGAGAACTATGGAGAGCGCGAACGATCAAATGAAAGGGAGAAATCTGGATGGATGGATGGACGGACGGACGGACGGACGGACGGACGGACGGACGGACGGACGGACGGATGGATGGATGGATACTCTGCCTTTTCAACCTACTGTATTTTTTATTTTAAACATTATTTGATGGCCTTTGTGGCAGGGATGGAGATCCATATTTTATGTCACACACAGAGTATAGATCTAGAAAGATAGATAGATAGATAGATAGATGTTGCAGTATCTATAACAACCCAAACACACAGGATTTCAGAATTAGACATCCCCAGTTATTAATTTCACCAGATCTGAATGCCCTGTTAAAAAACTTCACATCGCGTTCCCCCCTGATGTCATTTACGTTGAGTTGCAATAAATGCTAAACTCTCTGCAGGTTCTTGTTTTTGTCGTCCGCTCTATTCAGCTGGCTTTGGAAACACATGGAGAGAAGGTGGGGGCTGGGTGGTGAGGGTTACGGGGGCGAGAAACGCAAAAGTAACGCAATAGTTACTTTTGCTAGTAACTAGCAGAGATGGCAAAAGTACTCACTTTCCGTACTTGAGTAAAAGTACAGATACTTGTGTTAAAAAATACTCTGGTAAAAGTGGAAGTACTGATTAAACTTCTTTACTCAAGTAAAAGTAACAAAGTACAGGCTTGTAAATTTACTTAAAGTATAAAAGTAAAAGTAGAAACCACTTTTTTCATGCCGTTGCCTACATTTTAAATGGATGTCTGCCAATAGGACTAGATCTCCGTTGTGTTCATTTTCAATCATCTCGTCGTCCATGCTACTATGCTTTATTGTGGAGTAACTCAGTTGGTAACTCAGTTACTTTTTGGGAGAAGTAACTAGTAACTATAACTACTTACTTTTTCAAAGTAACGTGCCCAACACTGCTGGAGGCGGGACTTAGATGAGAGAGGATGAGGAATGATGATTAGATGATTGAACAAAATAATATTACCAAGTGAAAAAAAAAGTTGTTTTAACATTTGGTTCTCGTTTTAACTTTTTGTTTTCAGTTTCAATTTACTTTTTTCTGTTTAAAAAGAGTTGTTTTTCAAAAAAAGAAGAAAAAAGAAAAGAAAAAATCAGTGTAAAAAGTCTGTTTTAAATATTTTTATAATTTAAAAAGTATTTTGCAGCATCAAATTGTTATTTTTAAAATTTAGTTTAAAGAATTTTGAGCCAACTTTCTGGCCCCATTTTGGCTCCATACAGAAGTAGTTTAGTTTGTGAGAGCCCAGCAAAGGTTGCACATGGCCCAGAATGTAATTTGGGGGCCAAGCCTTAATCCAGTACAAGCATCTGACACCTGTGGCTCCAGGAGCTGTGGATGTTGTACTGATGCTACTAATTATGGCTAAAAATGATGGTTCTGGTTCTGAATATAGTATGATAACACATATCAGTTTTAAATCCATCAGATGAATTATTTTTAGTGGATAATTAGATTGAATTTCTACAAAAAATGACATTAAATCATTAAATTGGAAATATTTTCTTGTTCAGCATCCAGGAAAGTAGTTTTCTCTGCTTTATTCTAAAACCTAAAATTATAAAGGATTTTAGTTAGTATTTAATGTAATATTGTAATATTTCCAGCTGCATCAAACTTGTATCTGTATTCAGTGATAATTGGCTTTGATTTGAAGTGTTGATCGTTAATATCACTTTTGTTTTATTCTTTTTATTTATTTATTGATTTTTTTTTTCTGAGTTTAACTGTTTGCTCATTATGCTGTAAGGAAAAATATTTTATTTACCAAGAAAAACTCAGAAAACTAAGCAAACAAAAAGGGACTTCACATTATTTAAAACAGATCAAAACTTAGAATAAAGGCTTTTTTACACTATTTTAAACTTTATGATCAGAAAGCATCAGAATGAAGTTTAAACTTGACAAACATCCCAGTAAAGGTTTTAAAGTTTTAGGATCTTTATTGAATATGATGCTTTTTCTGCTTCTGTCTTTGGCCTAGTGGGTTAGAGTAGTGCACTTGTGCACTGAGAAGGTTGCAAGTACCCGGCTTGATCCCCACAGCCTCCAGTCTGGGTCTCTGAGTAAGACCCTTAACCCCTGATTGCTCCCAGTCTGCCGCACAATGGCAGCCCACTGCTCCCCAAGTGGATGGGTTAAATGCAGAGAGTGAATTTCCCAATTTTGAGACAATAGAGGGATTTATATTTATTACGACAGACATGAAAGAAAAAAAAACTAGAGGTGGAAAAAAAACATTTCATGTTAAATAAGGAAGAACTGGATCAATGTCGAACATTGATACTTTATATGAAATTTAAATACTTATAAACATAAAATTTTCAGTAATAATTTTCTTTTTTTGTGTTTAAAGTTTGTTTCATGCATTTTGGCTTAAGTCACTGTTTTATGTCTGCATCACAGAGTCTGCAGTGGAAAGTTCCAGAAAATGCTAAACTTGCTACCATGAGGTCCACAATCGGCATCCCATCAGCTCCTGTCATCAAACCGATTTCAGCCAATTTCTCACTGGTATGCATCGTCCCTTCTTAGAGGAGTTTATTCAAGTAACTTGATAAAAAGAAAAAAAATGAGAAGACATGTTCAAACTGCTCTCCTTCTGCCAGGAAACAGCTCTGAGAGCGATGCATGACGGCCTGGAGCTGCACCATGGCTTACTGCGCTCCATCTCTCCTCGACTGGAAGTGAAAGATAGAATGAATGCTTTACAATACGACGTCAGGGACCTAAAAATCGAGATCTTTAGGGTGAGGAACCTTCTGAATCCTGCTTCTGAAATAAACCTTTACACATTTGTTTTCACATTTTAAAGAAACTTATTTTCTAATGTTTCACAGATGCTAAAAATCAAAACCACAGAAGCCACAGTCCCGCCCGCGCCGACCAGCGTGGAGCTGCACCTTCCAGGGGATTATGAGGTGCAGGTGGCAGCGCACCTCACCCTGGTTCAGCTGCAGGTGTTCAGCCAGGATGTGGCGCGTTGCCTCAGGAGTTTGGACCGCAGCGACCAGGAGGAGACCGACAGCTGACCTGCTGGTGTCAGACTCTTCTTTATTTTAGTATTTATTGAAGCACTAAAGATTATTTATTTGTTAATTTTTTTATTTATGTATTTATATTTAAATTATAGCATTTATTTATTTAGGGATTATACACTCACCGGCCACTTTATTAGGTACCCCATGCTAGTAACGGGTTGGACCCCCTTTTGCCTTCAGAACTGCCTGAATTCTTCGTGGCATAGATTCTACAAGGTGCTGGACGCATTCCTCAGGGAGTTTGGTCCATATTGACATGATGGCATCACACAGTTGCCGCAGATTTGTCGGCTGCACATCCATGATGCGAATCTCCCGTTCCACCACATCCCAAAGATGCTCTATTGGATTGAGATCTGGTGACTGTGGAGGCCATTTGAGTACAGTGAAGTCATTGTCATGTTCAAGAAACCAGTCTGAGATGATTCCAGCTTTATGACATGGCGCATTATCCTGCTGAAAGTAGCCATCAGAAGTTGGGTACATTGTGGTCATAAAGGGATGGACATGGTCAGCAACAATACTCAGGTAGGCTGTGGCGTTGCAAAGATGCTCAATTGGTACCAAGGGGCCCAAAGAGTGCCAAGAAAATATTCCCCACACCATGACACCACCACCACCAGCCTGAACCGTTGAAACAAGGCAGGATGGATCCATGCTTTCATGTTGTAGACGCCAAATTCTGACCCTACCATCCGAATGTCGCAGCAGAAATCGAGACTCATCAGACCAGGCAACGTTTTTCCAATCTTCTATTGTCCAATTTCGATGAGCTTGTGCAAATTGTAGCCTCAGTTTCCTGTTCTTAGCTGAAAGGAGTGGCACCCGGTGTGGTCTTCTGCTGCTGTAGCCCATCTGCCTCAAAGTTCGACGTACTGTGAGTTCAGAGATGCTCTTCTGCCCACCTTGGTTGTAACGGGTGGTTATTTGAGTCACTGTTGCCCTTCTATCAGCTCGAACCAGTCTGGCCATTCTCCTCTGACCTCTGGCATCAACAAGGCATTTCCGCCCACAGAACTGCCGCACACTGGATGTTTTTTCTTTTTCGGACCATTCTCTGTAAACCCTAGAGATGGTTGTGCGTGAAAATCCCAGTAGATCAGCAGTTTCTGAAATACTCAGACCAGCCCTTCTGGCACCAACAATCATGCCACGTTCAAAGTCACTCAAATCACCTTTCTTCCCCATACTGATGCTCGGTTTGAACTGCAGGAGATTGTCTTGATCATGTCTACATGCCTAAATGCACTGAGTTGCCGCCATGTGATTGGCTGCTTAGAAATTAAGTGTTAACGAGCAGTTGGACAGGTGTACCTAATAAAGTGAGTGTATTTTTAAACAACCTGCCAGCTTTTAGGATTCACATGTTTAGAACTACAGCTATTGATAATTTAAGTAATTGATTAATCTATTGATTAATATTTTTATTAATCGAAACGAGATGCTTTCAATATCTTAACATTTCTTTAAAAAAACAAATGTTTGATATTTAGCAAAAAAAATATATAAATGGCAAAATGTAAAACAATATAGATGAATATGAATCTATGCGTTACGAGTTGTTTTATCTTAAATGTGAGGTTGTTTTTTTCAGTAAATGACTTGTTTTAGAGTCAGTTTACCTTCAGTGTAAGAAAACATGTCAATCGATTAATAATGTGTTGCAGGAGAAAATATTATTTTTGTATTGCTATTTCATGTTTTTATTTTTTTGATGTCCCAATAAAAAAAAAAAACAAACAAAACTTGTTTCTCCTGATAACATAACAGTTCCTCTTTGAAAATGACTCGACAGGAAGTGACACAGGTTTTTGAAATTCCAGTGAAGCGATCAGAAACGCAAGAAAAACTGAAACAGAGGCTGCAGCATCATGCAGACGGTGTGACTTAAGTGGCAGATGACCTGCAGCGTCACTGGGTGAATGATTCCATCATGTGAAAAAAAAACTCAACATGTGACTAAGAAGCTGATTAAGACATCCGGCGTTTTCACAGAAGCAACATTTCAACAAGTGTAGAAAAAACCTTCACTTAAAGTAAAAACTGAAAGAAAAAAAACTACTTGTCACATCTAGGATCTGGGATTAATGATTAAAAACAGGAAACAAAAAACTATAAATATTTGAAAAACTATTAAAAATATAGTATAAAAATATTAAATGTTTAACAAAGTGAAACAAACTAGAGCAAATAGATTCAAACTAAACCTTTAGAGTGAAATTTGTTCCATTATTGCTGCAAGAAAACCAAAAAAAATACAACTTTTAGTAAAAGGGAATCCAATCCAGAAGTAAAGCTTTGGGATATTTTAGAATTAAAAAAAAAATGCTTTAAGAGGAACTTTGCGAATTTCTTTGATTTTATGTTTTCAAATATTTTTCTTAAAAATTCAAATTTTTTTCCCTATTTTTTTTTTACAGCGTTTATATTTTCCAATTTTACATTTTCAAATGTCATGTTTTCAAATCTTTTCAATAGGTTTAAAATTTTATTTTTTAAGTTAAAGATTTAGTCTTAGAAATTGCTTTCTTTTTAAATCATCCAATTTTCTTCACAATGTTGTTGCCCACAACCATGCAGACCAATATATTAATATCTTCACCGCTGCAAAAAAAGGGAAAAAATAAATTCTGCTAAAGGAAAGTATAAAAAAAATAAATTGAAAAGATAAAATCTGAGAAAACATCAAAGTTAGTCTTAAACCTTTCAAATTAAGATGTTTTTCAAAGCTTTATTTCTAGATTGTTTTTCCAAAACATGTTCTCTGCTGCAACAATAATATTATATTTTGTTTGTTTGTTTTCGAACTTTATTGGCAAAAATACAGGCAATAAGTAAACAAAGGGTACAAGAAATATTTATATAAAAAAAGGTTGAAATAGGAATGAAAAAAAATCTTTTATTGACTTTAAACGATTGAGAGAAAATAATTTACCCAAATGGAAATGCAAATGGGATTGACTTCCAGCGCTGCTGTTAAACATGGCGCCGCCTGCCCCTGCGTACCATTCAGTCAGCTAAAAGGGGAAGGAAATGGAGACGTCCGCTAATTTAGCTGATCCAGCTGCAGTCCTTTCCTCTCAGTTGGGGTTTATGGTTTGACCTTCGTCTCTATTTCAATTCTCTGAACATATCAGCTGAGTCCAAGTAGAGAGCGGGACGCAGCAGGAAGTAGAAACTGGTTCAGAGAGCAGCGACGGCTTTGGCAGCAACTCTCCTCCCCAGAGGCAGACTGAGGTCAGTGATGGCCAGGACCACTTTAGGCTTGGCCAGAGCCGGCAGCTTCACCAGCTCAGAGACCTGGAAAAATAAAAACACAAATCATTCATTTCTCACACTGTTAGGTGAAAGTATTCACATCCCCTCACACTTTGTCAACTTAAAGGTGAATTATTGGGGGTTTAAATTCAAACATCAGGGGTCATCCATCTTTAGACCAAATAATAAGGATTCTTATTATTCCTAAAATCTATTCATGTCCCAGTTATGCAAAAATTCTGCCGATAATGATGCGTGACTCTCAGTGCCTGAATTACCCATAATGCAGCAGTGCTTTTCTTCTAGCATAACAGCACGCCCGGGACCGCGATGGAGTGATGTTGCAATGAAAATGAAGAACTTAATGAAGCAATCACTTAGTATCCTCACATTTTTTGACAGAAATCGTTTACCAGAGAGATTCTTCAACGGCTGGACATAATTCATGGACTACAAATTAATTAAAATGGAGCCGTAAAAGGTCTTGACCAGACTATGGCGTTGCAGCAAAGCCGCGGGTTACGATGAAGTTTGTCAAATGACACATTAGGACGACTAGCTGAATTTTAATGAACATAAACGGCCACAGAAACAATATTTTAAACACATTTACATCCTTATTTGCAGATAAAAGTGAGAAAATTGCTCTAAAAATGTGAACTCTGTCCTTCAGACTCTGTCATCAACTCACACTTAAAGCCCAGTTTAGACCGTCCTCTGAAAACTGATCCCTGCCGAACTTGGAGCAGTTAACAGTGCTGAGCTTGGTACCTTAAGACAGTTTACACACCACGCTAGCACGGTTCCATGGCGCCCGTAACATTCAGGAAGTTTGATTATAATTGTGATATTTCATTGCTTGCAGAGAATAAGGCGGAGAAGGCAGCCTTTGGTGAATTTACTTGACAGAGTCAGCTTTAGGGAAGTGGATACGACAAACGATAGCCTAATCAGGGCTTCCAGATGAAGGAAACATCGACAGACGTTGAGGTTCATCACCCTGCTAAGCAGAATCATCACTGGAAATTGAGTGGCACGTTAAGGAAGCTAGTATTTTTATGAATGTCTGAGATTCCATGATTACAGAGGCTGACTGTAAGGAGATGCGGTGGTCTGCTCATGCGATCTTTGCTATCAGAAAACTGATCCAGAACTGAACCGCGGTGAGCCCTACTGATGAACTAGTACCGGTTTAGTGCAGTTCGGTTGTGTCTGGTGCGGTCTGGTTTATTTCTGGGTACCATTTATACTCAACAGTTATCTTACCCCCCCCCCCCAGCCCTCTGTTTATTGTTTAAATTATCCCTATAAGCTGCACACAAAAGGTTACATGATGGACTGAGTCCCTGCTGGAAATATTTGCTTTTTTTCTCTCTTTATAACTTATACTAATATAAATGCTTGGCATCCGCCATAAAAGAAATCTTTACAGAAGTAAATGTGAGCCATTGCCTCTGCCAATAACGGTGCATTGCTGCAGGACAAAGGTTCAACTCCTGTTCAGTTTACCCTCAGGCCTGTTTCCACACGTTTTATCTTTAAATCATTTAGCGTTAATTTCAAAAGGGAAAAAAGATTTTTTCGACGTAGAAAAGAAAGTAAAAGGAGGACTGCATTAGTCTGGAAAGAAAAAAAAACTTTATTAAAGTCTGTTCTAAAGCTCGTTAATGGGAGAAAAAAGAAGTTCTAAAACATGTTGAAAAAGAGGAGCTTATTTTGATTAGCAGCAAGTTTATGTTTGGTTTCTTTTTTTAAAAAAAGCTTTAGGTAAAAAAGGTACTAACATTAAAAGAAATGTATAGTTTTGTATGACTAAGCTTTGCATCATCCCAGCTGTTGTCTGTTTCTGCAGATGGTTCACATTACCTTCCTCTTTAGAAACTGGGCTTTATCTAACGCACCAGAGAGGATTTATCAGCACATTTTTAGAGCAGTGAGTCAGAGTTATAAGTCAGCCCCTTTCGCATTCTTATGCTTTATTGGATTTACTTTCAAACAAATAAATTCAGCATCACTGATTAATGACCTTCTGATTCTGTCTTTGCATTTCTTCAAACCTACATTTAAGGAGGAATTCCAAAGCCTTCCCAGTAAATCCTGGCGTAACCGGAACTGCCGTTCCTCCCGGCTCATAACTCACCATTGTAAAAGGCATGAACTGCAGGATGCTCCCACGGCTTCCCTGCTCCAGGCACTCCACGCACTCCTCAATAAAACTCTGCACAAACTGGGTGTGGGGCCCCGCCATCTTGGAGCCCAGGGTGGAGGAGAAGAGGAGGAAGAGGTTGGCTGCGAAGAAGAAACAGAACACACTCCGATTAGATTTCTCATTCATATTTTCAGACCTAGAAGGCAGTCCTAAAACAGTATCCTAATGTGATTAACGTCAATTAATCTGAGCAAATGCTTAAAATTCAAACAGGCATTTGTACAACGGTTAAAGAGTTTCTAAATGTAGTTTGATTACAATATTGAAAGATTTTTTAAAATTCAAAATTCAATTTCAAATTAGACTTTCACTGTTAAAAAAGAAATGGAGAAGCTTGAAGACAACATCAAATTGCGGCAAACTAAAGCGACTTCAAAGAAGAACAGATGACGGAGGGGAAATGAGTTTCCTAATGAGTTTCCTCAGCTTGGAAACACTGAGTGTCTTTGAGCGTCAGAAAGGTGTTTCAAATAAAGTGAGAGGAAGCTCTGAATGTGGTTTGATATAAAACTAGCTCCTGTGGAAGCTTATTTATAGTTAAAACAGGGTTATCAATTGGTCACATCAGATCTGAGCTATAGAGTCAGTTTTGTTCCATTGTTGTTTCAAGCAGAGAACATTTTTTGTAAATGTGAATTCAAAAGGAAAAACAAATAAAACCAAGAAAGGAAACTCTGAAATAAGTTCCAATAAAAAATATATTTTGAGAGTATCTATAATTACTTTTTTATTCATAAAAAAGTTCTTTTAAACAGATTTTTTTTAATTTTAAATTAGATTTTTTTTGTTATTTTTTTCTGATCAGCCCTTTTTCTATTTAGAGGTATTGAACATGTCATTTTTAATGGTTGCATGTTTTTTCCAGATTTCCATTTTTTTTTTACTTAATAGAAAACAGAAAAGGAAAGACGTCTCTAAAACCTGCAGATGTAAACTTTATCCTGACTGCTGCAGTCCTCTATAAACTGCAGTGATGAGTCTGACGTGCGTCGATTGCAAAGATTGCTGCATGTTGAGCTGCCAAAGCAGTACCGTTCTGCTTTGGCAGCTCAACATGCAGCAATCTGCAGCGTTCAGATTTCTTTCGTAAATCATCCCCCTTTCTTCTGCTTAGAATTCACAAGAATAATTGAACTAAATTCAGAGTCTGAGGCAGAAAAGCCTTATTTTTTTACCGAAAGCTCTGGGTTCCAACCTGGAGAGACACTCGTTAGAAAAGTAAGGAATTCCAGGTTATTTGCTGCACATTGCTGATTTATTCCAAGATAAGAACCATTAACTGAATAAAAAATGTATCAAGCTTTTTGCACGTATATTAACTCATATCTGCTCTGTACAATGAACAGGAAATAACTGCATTAAAAAGGAGCTTATTCAGTCATTCATATCACTCAAGATTTAGTTACGCTAAAATTTCGATGTATTTTTTTTTATTTTGGGTGTATACAACAGATTCAAAAGTAACTTATCGTTACTTTTGGCTCAAATCTTAAACATCACAACAAAAAACACTGATATGGGGATGAATCATTGCTGAACCAGCCCATTTTCTCTAAATAATGTTTTATGATCGGTTTTATAAGAAGGTTTGTCCTGCAGTGGGAGATGTGAGTCAAAGTGTGAATCCAATCTTCATTTTGACTCACACCACCCACTGCAACACAAATGTTTGTGTAATCAAAACTCCCTCAGGGACAGAGGAGAAAATAAAAGAACAGAAAAATGTCAGGAAATCACTTGAAACATGTGGTAATCGGAATTTGCCTTTGTTAGGTAGGTGAAAAAAAAGGAAGAATAACGTTGCATCAACAACAACACAAACGCATGGAGCAGCACAGGAGAGCCAGCAGCTCTGGGCAACATTCAACTGGAGACTTGGACCTCAAGAACAAAGGACACACCTGTCAAAATGGTAACATTTTGGACAGAGAGGACAGATGGTTTGATAGAGGGGAGAAGGAAGCCATCTTTGTTCAAATAAAAAAGCATTTTTTTGTGGTATATTTGAGCAATTCAGAGAATCACCCAGCGGCTGCCGTCATATCTGTTCGGCAGAGCTGGTAAGTTACAAAGTAAAAATACTTTTTTTCCTCAAGTATCTATACTTCACTGGCATCATTATTTTTAGACAACTTTTTACTTCTACTCCTTACATTTTTTTGCAATTATCTCAACATTCTACTCCTCACATTCTAAAAATAGTCTCATTAGTCTTGTTTCATTTAAGCTCATTTTTTCATCATGACCTGTTGGTATTAGAAAAAAAATAAAAAAAAATCAAAATAATTTGCTTCATCCAGACAATTTCTGCCCCAACTTGTTGTTCACCACATAGCAAAGTAAATAGTTTTTCCAAGATGATGCAAAGTTAAATGTGACAGTGTTACTATTAGTTATAAAACTAAGAAAATGAAATCTAAGGAAATTATCATCCAGAATTGTAGAAAAATATCCCTTTAATAGGGTAGAGCAGTAAAGCTTCTGGTCTTAACAATTTTTCCTGCATTACTTTTACTTTTATACTTTAAGTAGTTTTAAAAATGGTACTTTTACACTTTTACTGGAGTAAACTTCTACAAAAGTGTTTTTAAACAGCAGGATTTATATTTCTAATGAAGTAATAAACATTAATACTTTTGACACCTCTGCTGTTCGATCAGAATCAGAGATTTAATCTCAAAGAGGAACAGCAAGAGCATAAAAGCATAAGTTTCGGTTTTTAATGGCGTCTGCTGCTGTTTCATCACTTTGGTTCTGCTGAATGTCTCTCCTTTCTACAAACGGATTCAATCGGATCGGCCCAGATTAATAATGTGAGGAGCTAAACCTGAGCGCAACACATCATTAATGTGGCTGCCAGGTTCAGTTCTGTCAGCCCAGAGCTTCAGCTCATGTGTTGCATGGTTGATAAGAGGCGCTGAAGGACTGTGAAGCCATCGCAGGGTTTACTCAGTTTATGCTTTGAGTCTAAGTGCAGAACTGCTGCGTTCGCCTCTAACTGCTCCGCCCCTTTATCTGAATATAGAAACATGAAATAAAAAAAGACCCTGAAATATCAATGGGATTAACAAAATAAAAGTCCTGGGAGCACATGACAAAGCTATAATAAAACGTACGAAAAAATAAATATTAATATCTTGAAAATAAATACATAAAATGTGGAATTAACACATTTATTTTGATAAAAAAAAAAAAAAAAAAAAGAATAAGAAACATAGATAAATAAAAAAATAACCTAAAGAAACTTTTTGTGTCATTTTATGGAGAAATCTTGAAAAGTAATAAATACATTTTGAATTACAAATAAATTAATAAACCTTAAATTAAATAAATAAGATAAAAATCTCATTTATTTTATGGTAATAAATAAATAAATAATTAACAAATATATCTTTGGAAAAAAAGAATTAGCTTGAAATTGAGTACAGAAATAAAAAAATATATATTTTATTTTATGGATATTTGTTATTTGATGCAGGATTAGTATATTTATGTCTGAATAAAACAACTCTCCACTTATAAGAATCACATTAGCAGATGGATTAATCAACAGACATTAGGGGTTAGGGGGGGTTTCCATCCATCCATCTTCCTCTTATCCGGGGTCGGGTCGCGGGGGGAGTAGCAGCTTCAGTAGGGAGGCCCAGACTTCCCTCTCTCCAGCCACTTCGGCCAGCTCCTCCGGAGGAATCCCAAGGCGCTCCCAGGCCAGGCGAGAAACATAGTCCCCCTGGCGTCCTGGGTCTCCTCCTGGGCCTCCCCCCGGTGGGACGTGCCTGGAACACCTCACCAGGGAGGCGTCCAGGAGGCATCCTAACCAGATACCCGAGCCACCTCAACTGGCTCCTCTCCATGTGGAGGAGCAGCGCCTCTACTCTGAGTCCACCCCGGATGACTGAGCTCCTCACCCTATCTCTAAGGGAGAGGCCAGACACACTGCGGAGAAAACTAATTTCAGCTGCTTGTATCTGGGATCTCGTTCTTTCGGTCATGACCCAAAGCTCATGACCATAGATGAGGGTAGGAACGTAGATCGACCGGTAAAATTGAGAGCTTTGCTTTTTGGCACAGCTCTCTCTTCACCACAACAGACCGATACAGCGCACGCTTCACAGCAGATGCTGCACCAATCCGCCTATCGATCTCCTGCTCCATCTTTTTCTCATTCGTGAACAAGACCCCAAGATACTTAAACTCCTCCACTAGGGGCAGTACATCCTCCCCAACCTGGAGAAGGCACTCTACCCTTTTCCAGCTCAAGACCATGGTCTAGGATTTGGAGGGACTGATCCTCATCCCGGCCACTTTACACTCGGCTGCGAACGGCTCCAGGGAGAGCTGTAGATCACGCCCTGATGAAGCCAACAGAACCACATCATCTGCGAATAACAGAGATGCAATCCTAAGGCCACCAAGACAGATCCCCTCAAAAAAACAGAAATTCTGTCCATAAAAGTTATGAACAGAATCGGTGACAAAGGGCAACCTTGGCGGAGTCCAGCCATCACCGGAAATGAGTCCGACTAACTGCCGGCAATGCGGACCAGGCTATGACACCGGTCATACAAAGACCTAACAGCCCCTATTAAAGGGCCTGGTACTCCACACTCCCGGAGTACGCCCCACAGGGCCTCCCGAGGGACACGTTCGAATGCCTTCTCCAGATCTAAAAAACACATGCAGACTGATTGTGCAAACTCCCATGCAAAAGCCCAGCTACCAGGCGCTCGCCAGCGTGACCCACCTCCAGGCCTGGCTCCAGAGTGGGGCCCCTGTGACCCGCGTCCGGGCAACGGAACACTATGTCCATTTGTTGTATTCATCATAAGGGGGGTTTCCAAAACCTGGTATTCCCCACCATCATGTGACTACACTTACCAACCCTCAACGATTCATTTCTATGTGCTAATAATTAGTGTAGATTTTATTCGTTTATTAGTTTATATATGACTGTTTAGGGATTATTTTAAGACAACAGAGAAATATCTCACCCAGGACTCTATTGAGCGGGTCCCTCATGTTGACGGTGTGAAGCTGGGAGGGAGACAGAGAACTGCTCATCGATCGGTCTCCTGTGAGGCAACGGGACATGACAAAACAGCTGATGAAGTCACATGTTTTTATTTGTTTTTAGTAACAGTGGAAAACAAAACCAACAAAAAAAAAAAAAAACTCCAGAAATAGAAAAGAGGGAAGCTGAGATGTGCCACAGCAGTTTGAGCCTTTACATTTATTTTACATTTCAAAACCCATTTATTTTTCACTACCTTATAACGTAACATTTGTTATCATTGTGTTTTTATCATGTAAATATGGAGGACATTTATGGAGGATTGGTTAGAATGAGGTAACAATGGTCAGCCTAAAATTAAACCCTGTATCGATTGATGTCTACTGGGCAGTGTTTGGTCTGCTGGAGACTTCACAGATCAGGTTCTTTCCAACACATGTTCTCTGTTTAGGATCGTTTGAGTTTGTTGAGAAAAACCTTTGGGTTCAGTTCTTAACAAACCAAACACTGCATGGGAGGCTGCTGGACAAAGTATTATTCAACTAACCCAGCAGATCATGTTTCTTTGGTTTATTTCAAACAATCAAACATTTCTAAACATGTTTTTCTACGAATTTCACTGAGAAACAAAACCAGACTTTGAGTTTTAACAACACTGGGAAAAAAAAGAAGAAAAGGTTTGTTAACATTTTTCTGAAGTCATGCAATAACTTGTTCTGGGGTTCTCTCTGCTGCAAAAAAAAAAAAAAAGTTTAAATTCCTGATGGCTAAAAGCTCATTACTGGAGTCATGTGGCTGGCTCTGTGCAAAGGACAAAATGATACAGCTTTAGCTTGTTTAAATCTCAGAACCGCTCATTTTTAACACAACCCTCCCAGAGCTCCTGTTAGAACTTGCTGATAGGCGAGTTGTTGCTTAAATAATAGCTAGAGACACTGGGTGCGTTCGAATTTATGGGCTCCAAGGAAGCCGTCTACCTGGACTAGATCCTTCCAAGTCCATGAAAATAGTTCCAATATAGTTGATGAGAGTTGACACACAAAGCAGGAAATGAATGAATACCGAAGTTTTCAAAACTTTTTCTTTTTGTTATTGTAATGTGAACAAAGACTACATTCATGAGATTACAGGGTGGAAAAAAGGTGCCAACCACTGGGAGCAGGAACAAACAAAATCAAATGTAATGATAGAAACCTTAGTCAGTTAAATAAAATGCTGCTTTGATTTTGCACATCTCTGATGTTGCTGCTATTTTAAAATACCCATTACTGTAAAAATGTCCATAGCTGCATATTGGTTACTTATTCTCCAGGTCGGCGGAGCCACATGCGCCAATGCCCCCTTGCGGCTCCCTGGAGCTTTTTCAAAAATGTATGAAAATCGATTTTTTTTGTTTGTGCAGGAGGTTATGTTTTCCAATGCTGTAAACATTTGTATAATAAATAAATTTAAATAATAATTTGCTTCATGGCCGCAGAGATCAGTGGTCACAACTTGCAACCAGCGTGTCGTGGTGCTGGGCAAACAAAGCTGCAGGTGTGTCTGGGACCATGGATCCCAAAGGGAAAAGGGAAGATAGCTGATGAGAAAAGAGGACTCAAAGAATGGACCGAATCATTTGATTTGATTGCCTACATTTTTGATTTGTAATGAGAGGTTGTCAAACAATAAAAAGAAAAATTTGGAAAGGTATTTCCAGGGAAGGCAAAATATGGAGCCGACAGCCAAGTTTGGAGGGGGAGAAAAAGTGCCATTGCAGAACTTTTGGATAAATTAAAAAAAGCTCAAAGATAGATTAAAAAAGTGGATTGCATTGCATCTCCAAACTCCACTCCTGCTGCTAGCTTGGGTGCAAGGATGGAATACTGTCCACAGATCAAACAGACAGCGCTTTGATGCAGGGATGGGAACTTTCTTCCATTTTTTCACCAGATCCTAAAAATATAAATCACACCAAGGAACGATGGTGACGGCGGATGTAGGATTTCAGGGTTAGAGAGAACTGCTCTGATGGATGTCAGTTCCTGCTTGGTTCCTCATGACTAAATCATCTCCTCCCAACAGAAAAACATCCACTATAGAAAGATTCCTTTATTGTGTTTCTATAATTTGATCAATGCAACAAAACCTAAACCGCGCGGTGAGGGGCGATGAAGCGGTGAGTTTGTTCACTGCTCCTCTCTCACCTCATGTTGCTATGTGACATTTGCTCCAGGATAAACATTTAATCATGATTGCTTAATATACATTTAAGCCCACATAGTCATTTTCTATTGTGGGATAATACACTTAGAGCCTGTGTTGCCATACGAGGCTGATAGAAGACTTTTACATTTTTGCGACTCCAGACAGATATATTTTTTATTTTTTTGGTCCAATATGGCTCTTTGAGCAGTTTGTTTTTCCGACCCCTGCTCCAGGTACACAATTTTTTATTGTTAAAACACTTTACAGTACGTTATTTTATTGTTTATATTTTAACTCTTCACAGTTATGTAATTCTTATACATTGTTCTGTGAAATTTTTTTAATAATCGTTTTGCTGCTGTAAACACCAGAATTTCCCCATTGTGGGAAAATAAAGGGATTTTCTATTCCTGTTCTATAAAAGAGGTAGACAGATACAAGTAAATCTAAACAATGTATCTATAAAAATATATCTGCAAAATATCTTATATTCAACAACAAAAAATACTTATTGTGCAAAATAGCAATTAAAAAATTTAAATCCTATCAGATTTATAGTCCCCACACTGCAGATATATTAGAACCTGTCCTAAAATTACAGCCAAACCCATTTACACAGTAACAGATAAAAACCTTTAGATAAATTAAACGTTACCCATCACATATCTGACTCAATAACTATTTAAAAAACAATTTTGATTAATTTCAGACAGAACTATTGACATACTTGTATTACATTTAACTGCACTTCCACTATTCACCACTGTTGAGCGCCATCGCCCTTTTTCCTCTGATCACAGAGCAGCTGGCTTGCTTCAAATCCTTCAAATCAGGGCAAAAAAAAGGACGCATTTGTAGGCCGCATATCAGGGAGTCTTAAAATCCAACCAGACCTCGGCGCCGCGCTATGATGGACCTTTGAATCTGGCCTTCGGAAGATGATTCCCATAAATTTGCACGCAGTCACTGACTGGTTGCCACAGAAAAAAAAAACTGAATACCTCCAGGAAGAAACTGGTTTGTAGCCTGATGTTTGTATCTATTTAAACTCAAAGCTCAGCCTGAAAGGCAAATATCTGATTTAAAGCCTTAAGCTTAATAAACTGACCTGGACTGGAAAGGGCTACAGGTTCATCCTCATTGGAGCTGAGGAGCCGCATGAGTTTAGATGGCTGAGTGTCGTCCAACGGGAAGAGACTGTTGTAATCCTGTGGTCCCGCCCCCCCAAACACACATAACAGAAAATAAACGGCTTGTTGTTAGTGATACGGAGGTAACAGGTCAGCTTTGGCTCAGAGTGAACGTAGAACTGAAAGGCAGCTTCACCTCGATATCTTCCCTCTGCCTTTTCCGCTGCCGGGCTGAAAACGCTCCTTTGTGGTGAGAGGAGTAGGAGCTGAGAGCACACCACACCGACAACCTGAGGGGTTCCGGAGTACGGAAAGCCGTTTCAGTCACAATTCTTCACAAAAAGATGTACTGTCATCAATAAGTTAAATATTCCTCCAAATAAATGAAATATACAAATGAAATACATGAGAAAATATTTGGATTTTAAAATTTTTGTTTTACGATTTATTTTTTACCTTTTAATATATATTTAACTTTTTTTATTTTTACAGTGGTGTTTTATTTTGCATCAGTTATCTTAAAAAGTATTTTTTTGTATTTTAAAAATAAAGATTTAATTTTGGGGCTCTTTTTATTTCTGTCTAACTTGTTTTGCTCTATATTCAAAGAAAGGAGCAGAAGTTATTCTGAAGGAAATAAACAAGCATAAGCTAAAAAACATTTTTCATTATATATTTTGTATTTTATTTATGTAATGGAATCTTTATAAATATTAAATATATTAAATATCTTAAATACTAAAAGAAACAGTATCTATTTAATTTTGAATGAAACGGCTCTCCATAGGATGACGGGGGGGGGGGTTTAACCTCAGATAAACAAACAAAATAAAAAAATGAATGGATTAATCTGCTCAAAAAACCCACACAAACAAAAACATATCCACTCTTACTTGGCCAGGGCCTTTCCAGGAGGGTCGGCCAGGCTGCGCCAATGAGCGGAGTCCGTTAGAAGGTTGGGCAGGATGGTTCCCAGCAGAGTTAGCGTGATCTGCTGACTGTCCAGGCAGAAGATGCTGTAGAGTAACTCTACCACCCTACTGGCCCACTCCTGCCGGGTTTCCTTCAGCAGCTCCTTCAAAGAATAAGATTAATATCTGTGAGGAATTCAGAAAATAAAACAGACCAAGAAAACGTAGACCTGAAGATTTAACAGCAGAGAAAGCACAATTTTTAACGCATTTATGTTGGATTTCAGGTTAGAAACAACATATAAGCAGGTATAGAGTTATTACACGCTATAAATGATGGATAATAGAGGGTGGTATGCATTTTTATTAGGGATGCACGATATAATCGGCCCCCTATCGGTATCGGCCTGTATCGGCCTTAAAACTGAATATCGGACATCGGCCGCCCCACCGATATTTAACCCGATATTTGATCAGCTTCTGAGTTTTTAAAGTCTGGAAAAAAAAAAAAAATACTTCTTCTTCTTCCTCAAAAACTTATTTTTTTACAGACTTAAAAACTTCTAAAGACGAGGGAAAAAATATTGATACGTTAAAACATCACAATATCTTCATATGATGATATATTGCCATTTAAAAACACCATATCAATCTCTTTCACTAATGAAATATTGCTATATGTCATCGTTATGCTACCAAATCCCCCGAAAATTCACGAAATTTGATATATTGACACGGTATCGATCTATTTTACTAACAAAATCTCGCAAGAATTTGTAAAATATCACGAGAGTTTGTAACAGAATGATGAAATTTCACGAGACTTTGAAAACCGCGTTTTTAAAAATCTATTTTATATCAGCATATGAAAATATATTTGAGTATATTATTTTTCAAAGTGTCAGAATGGATAACAAGACTGCTATTTTCAATGACTACTTATTTTTGTCCAGCTTTAACATCGGTATTGATATCGGTTATCGGCTACATGAGTTTTAAAATATCGGCATATCGGATATCGGCCAAAATCCCAATATCGTGCATCCCTAATTTTTATGTTCCCCATTTACTCTGGTACCTGCAAATAAAATTCACTTAATCAATTTAGATACTGAGGCCATGAACCTTTGGAGCTGCTGTTTAATTCAATTGTTGCTTTAATACAAAAAGGAACGTCTGAACAGTTCAGAAATTAGAGAAAATATCAAAATAAATCTTTTCTCCAACAGGTCAGCATGGTCTGATCTTGAATCCTCAGTTTACAGATGAGACGAGAAAATGTCTCAAAGCAGATGTTGCTTTTATACTATACTTCAAACATCGTCTAATTAGGTAAAAAACTAATAAAAAGAGTGCAGAATTTTTTCAAATAAATTTGTTCCCAGATTTGTCAATCTGACAAAATTATTTTGAAAAAATAAATTCAAAAAAATTCAGTTAAATAAAAAACTTACATTTGAACAAAAAAATGAAAAGATAAATTCTAAGAAAACAGCAAAGTTACTTTAAAAACCTTTTTTTATTATGTAGTTTTTCTTAGTAGTATTTCGTTTTATGTAGGATTATTTCTGGATTGCATATTTTTTAATTTCCATTTATAAAACATTTTCCGTGCTGCAACGATACGGGGACAAAATTTACTTTTAAACATCACGACTGTCAGACACGCATCAATCTCCTAGGTTGGATAGTGGAAGTTGACGCACCATTAGCTCAAGCAGTTTTTCGGAGCCTCTTTTATGATGCTAAAAACGGTTAAATATCACAATAATGACCGTCTTATTGAGTTTACTTAAAACCTTTTTTCAACATGCAGGAAGAGAAGGAAGAGAGAGAGGGGGCCTATGAAAAGATGATTATCTCCCCCTAGTGGTCTGGAGCATTTCCGTTATGCTATGCTAGTTGGCAGCTTTTCTCCTTTGCATGCGTTTTGTGTCTTAGTCTCATTTCTGTGTTTGCAAATTTTTTCCTCTTTGATGCTCTCTTTCTTTTTTGTAGCTTTACTTTAGTAGTACTTTTTCTGTCTCTCTCCTTGTTGCTCATCTAACCTAAGTTTACAGTATCGTTTGATTTTCCTGTGAAATCGGCAAAAATTTCAGACATAATTCACACTGAAAATATGTGGCAAGACAGTCAGACATTCACCGTGAAATCTGAACCAGCTCAGGTAAAATATTAACGCCTGAATTTACAGAGCTTGTAAAGACGCAGCTGAAGGTAGATCTGGAAACTACTGGTTCCTCAAGGCTCCATTCTAGGGTCCCTTCTATTCAACATCTACATGCCTTCCTTAGCTCAGATTATAGCAAACAAAAACATAATTTACCATAAGTATGCAGACGACACACAGCTTTACATCAGAATATCATCAGGAGACTATGAATCCATCAGAATGTTGGCAAGATGCTTAGAACAGATGACGTCGATGCGCCTTTTATCACCTGAAGAACATCTCCAGCATTAAAGGACTAATGTCCCAGCAGGATATAGACAAAAACATTCATGCATTTATCTTTAGTAGAACTGATCACTGCAACAGCATCTTCATAGGTTTGCCTAAAAACTCCGTCAGAAAGCTGCAGCAGATCCAAAACACTGCTGTCTGTGTTCTCGATAGAACCGTCTACCCGTCAGGATCATGGTTTAGGGACTTTACAGTAAAAGGTGAAACATACCATTACAGACCGCTGCTAAATATATCTCTATGCAGAACCTTTGAATCAGCTTGGAGAGGCCATCAAGTAAAAAAAAAAAAAAAAATTGCTGAAAAAGTAGATCACTTTGGTTCATCCAGAACTGCGTCTGGATGACGGTCGGGTTCGGCAGTACGCGCTTCTATCTGGCCGAGCAGCAGGAGGGGCCGAGGTCTGAGCTGGAGGTAAGGGAGGATGACAAGCGGTCCTTTAGGGTTAAACTTAAACAGCTTTTTAAAAAGCCATCTAAAACCTCTTCAGAGCGTTCCTTATTTCATATTTGGTCTCTTATTTTCTCTATTTTCCATTTTAACTAAAAAAAAAGCTTTGCCTCGACTGCAATTCTTTAACCTACGTCACAACCAGCTCGATTGGCTGCTGCGATGCCATTTCACAGGAAAGTTTAGATCTTTTTCACCTCTCTGCATGACAACGCCTAAGCAGCACAGAGAGCGCGAAGCGGTGACTGCTCACAGCTGGCTGCTTACCGCACTTTCCCACACGGTTTCCATAGAGACGGCATGAAAATCCATGGCTTTCACTGCATTCAGTGTGAATTCACCATTAAACTGTTAATTGAAGTATCATAAAATCAAGTTTGTGGTCCAACTGTTTGCTGCCTGTTTTTATCTTTACTTGCTTTTATTTACCGTTTATTTCATGTAAAACCTATTCTATTATTCGTACTGAACTGTGTTTTAAATGAACTTGACTTTACTGCAGTTTTTGTTTGTTTAAAAGAACTTTTGATACCTTTCAGTCGACATTTTTTCTCCTGTGTTTCGTCCGAGATATTCAGCATAAAAGTTTATTGAACATGACGAGATGTGAAGAAATGTTGTCATTCAGTCCAGTTACCTTGATCAGGTTGTTAGTAAACCAGAAGACCCCCCCCATGTTGAGCAGACCCTCGAACAGGTGCAGAGCTCGACTGTCCACCCAGCCTTTGCGCAGCACAGCCTGGAACTGCTGGCTGAGGGAGCGGTGAATGGGTTCTTTGGGAGGCAGCAGGTTGCGGTACGGGATGGGCTCCTGGCCTTCTAGGGGGGAACGCAACAAGGCGCCCGTTTGCTGGAAGACGTCCGCACACATCTGCTCCATGATGGAGCTCATTATGACCACGCTGAAAGGGGGGTTTGAAAGAAGAGGAAGATGATTTCACCTGTTTACCCTCAGCAGATTTAGGCAGTCAGAATCCAGACACTTTGTTGTGTTTTTTTACCGTTCGTTATAAAACTGTAGAGTGTTTTCCGCATATAGGGGAGTAACTAGCTGTCGGATCATAGTCTGCGGCTTCTCCCTCTCATCCCGTCCAAGCATCCTGACGTGCGCCACCAGCCAGGCCACGGCACAAATAGCCATGCTGCACACCTTCCCCTTGATGTTGTCTGTAATCCTCTGCACTCAATAGAAAAGAAAGAAGAGGAAAACAAAATCGACTTTTTGGTTTGCAGAAAGAATCTGACTAAAACAAAAACCGCCAACAATGAGTGAAACTCTCAAAGGAAGGAGAAGTGGGTTAGAAGAGGGACGGCAAGAGTGGGGCAACTTAATATTCAGCGATAGTATCAGGGTGTTAGTTTATTGCATCACTTATAATATACCCATTGGTTGTGCTGTGCTTTTACATCTCTTTGCAAGTTTGCTGTGACAAGTTTGTAATGATGGTTTCACACAGAACGGTGGGATGAGTCAAACAGAAGCAGTGGTGTTTGTTTTGGAAGCTGATTAACCGAAATAATCGGTTTCAAGAACAGTGACAAAAATAATAAAAAGAAGGCGCAGCGAGGACTGACCTGTACCACGTCCACAGACAGCACGCCGTTCTCCCACGCATTAAGAACTTCCAAAATGGCTGCCGGAGTGTTGAGGCAGATTTCGTGCCACTTCATCTGACTGATACAGCGTATACAGAATGTGTGAGATAAACTTTTACCAGATGTGAAGAGATGCTTAGTAAAAATATGCATTTACACCAGTCTCATTTCTGTAGAGCTGTTCAGCAGAGTCACCAGGCTCTCCACTTTCCCCGGCTCCGGTCTGAAGCAGGGGTGGTCCGGATTCAGAGTCTTCCCTTCCTCCGGCATGCACGTCTGCAGCCATATTTCAAAAAAGGGCGTCTCCCCTGAGGGACTGGGGTCCGACAGGATCACCTAGAGAGGGAGAGCCAGACATTAGCAAACCATCAATGCTTCATCAAAGCTCCTTGATCTCCTTACATGTCCTTTATAGGTCTTAGTGCCCAAATTCCAAAAAGTCTATCTTATATTTATAATATGCAGATACTTTTTTTTACCCTTAAAACTGAGTCTTTTAGTTTATAACAGAGAAAATCATTTATTTATCTTTTTAAATGTCAGTATATTTACTAAACTTTACATCCTTGATTCACTAAATAGATTTCATAATTGCCACAGAAAGATGCATCCATTATCATCTATTAGTATTTTATCATTGGTGCATCATCTTTTTATAAGATTTGCTTAAATCAAAAAAAAAAATCCCCATAAGATCAATTTCTATTTTATTTTCAGAAGATCTTTCTCAATTTTCTGAACATAAAGACATATAAATAAATAAATAAATAAATAAATAAGTTAATCCTTTTACAACAATTTTACTCCAAAGTATCGATAATTAATACTGTTAACCATCTTTTATTATTGGTTGATTTTAAGTTTACCGAAGCAACTTTATAAATAAAGCTTTTTATGTGAGTCACAACTAAACTAAGTGCTTATATTTGGCAGAAAATTAAAAAACATACATTACAATCAATTGAATTTATAAATTAGGCTAAAAAAAAAAAAGAAACAATTAAAAACATAAAATAAATAAACCAACAAGGTTGACAAAGTCTCACAAATGCTAAAAGCTATTAAATTAAAAGGCAGTGTTTTTAAAAAGCACAAACAGCTTTTGGTTTTATTTTTAAGGCAATCCATATCTGCGCACAATACATATAAAGGAATATTTCAGTAATATTATTATTATTAACTTATTATTGTTAGGTTAATAATTGGCAGCAACATTCACTTTGTTTAATATTTTTTTTATTTTGAATTAAAAACAATAAAAACCTCAAACCCAAAATTTTAGAATAAAAACAGCTTCCAGAAAAGTTAATATATTGTTATTTTCAGTCTTTTAAAGCCTAAAGATAAACTCAAATAACATGAATTACATTTTTGCTCCTGTACAAATTGAAGCAATATGGATTTTTGGGATTTTAAATCTTTCAAGGTCAGTATGTTTAAAAAGATCAACTCAGTTTTAATAAAAAATAAATAAATACATATTAAGAAACATGGTGATAAATTTCTAAACACACAATATTATCCAACATCAGCAGCAACACCTCCAGCAGCCTTGCAGAAAGCAGCATAGAGTGGAGAATTCTTATTGAATCCTTTCATTTGGTGGAAGTAGCGCCATCTGGTGGAAAAAACTAAGATAGCTAGTGTCTAAATTAACCTTAACTCTTTATTTTAGGCTCAGATAAAAAGGTCAAATTCAACAGTTTCAAATGGGAGATTTATTTTCCCATCCAAAAACTTTGCCTTGGTTTTATTATTTCAGACAAATTTAGGGAAACTGTAGGTTGTAATGTTTTAATATAATCTAGGAAACTGGAGCTAAATTATTTAATCAGACCCAGAATGGCTTTGATATAATAAATTGTTCCATTGATCACCAGAACTCACCTCTGAGCCGTACGTCTGCACAACATGACAGAGCATGAGGAAGGAAATGTCAAAGAGCAAGGCTCGAACAGATGCAGGCTTGGCTAAAAGACAAAAAAAAATAAAAATTAAAGAGATCATCAAGTTAGGATGAGTTTTTATTCAAATCTCACATAAGAAGGTGTTGATTTTAGAAATAAACTCACATCCTTCGCCGCTGATGTGTTTGGGGAATTCATTGAGCCTCAAAGAAGGTAGAAAACATCTTTAAAAAAACTGCCATCTAAGAGACGTAGCCTTGGTTATGATGTATTGTTGAGATACTCACTTGATGAATTTCCTGGCGAAGGATTTGAGTTTACCCGTGGCGGCGGCTGCTGCCAGGAGCAGGTCCAGGCTCTTCCCTGACAGCATATGTCCCAGAACCCCCAGGAGCCCCTCTGGGGATTTTGAATGGTCTGCATCTACTGTCTAAAGAACACCAAGAGGAAAAATATTTAATTTACCCTTTAAATAATAAATTCAGAGTTACTGATGTGATTTACTGTCAGTCAAGCATTGATTGTTCCATTTCTTATGCTACAGCACAGTGCATGGCTGTCCAGGCCTGGTTACCTTGAGGATATTTGTGACAGTTGGCTCAGCTCTCAGGATGAGGCCCGGGTTAGGCTGGATATTTGCATTTTCTGCCGTTTTCAGCCTTGGGGCAAACTCCCGGTCCTCATTCCTGAGTAAACAAGGCGAGAAGTACAGCAGAGAAAAGGAGGAGAGATGGAGAATCAGTCGAGGTGGTAACATAGAAGGCAGCCACCATTTACAGAAAACTAACACATTTTATTTAGTAGCAAATGAAGAAGTCTAAATATTGGCATCCTTTGAACCTTTAAATGCATGTTTTAAAGCTGCAAACACAAACTTAACTGTTAATTTTGAGGGGAATAATATGTGATAGACCGAGATAAAAGCAGAGGACGACCAGATCTGTACTTTAAAGGCCGATTATTTTGACGTCAGTCTAAACTATCCCTGATAGTTTTCTCATTTACAGGAGAAAATAGGAGAGAATGATAAAAAATGTTGGACAAAATTTAAACAATAAATCAACAAGTCTCCAAAAAACCTTAATGGGTAGCGAATGAAGCTAAAACGTATGAGCTTAACATGATCTGAAGGCACGGCCGCTGAATGTGCTAACGAATCAACGAGCGCATGCACGCATCATGAAGGACAAAAAACTGCAGATAAGGGAAGTTATGCAGAAGTTTTAAAGCAGGTTTAGGTTAAGAAAATAAGAAAATAACACGCAAAGTGCTGAGAGCCTCAGTCAGCTCCATTCAATAGGGATTCTGACGTGTCTTTGATACAGCAATGTTAGCAAATACTTTATCCGTGATTAACTGCCCATTCATACGGAAGAGGATTAGTCAGAATTCTGACTTTTTTTTTTCAGAATTCTGACTTTTTTTATTGTCAGAATTCAGTCAGAATTCTGAGAAAAAAGTCAGACTTCTTAGATTAAAGTCAGAAGTCGGACTTTTCCCCCATACTAAACTAAAATAAAATTCAAAAATCAGTTAACTTTTTTCTTTTCCAGTGGCCCTAATCCTCTTCCGTACATTCATGTTTTATTATATTAAATATTTAATTTAAAGGCACACTATGCAACATTTTTCAGTTAATTAATGTGTTCCATAACGTTTTGGATGATTAAATGAGTCATTTCAGGTTGAACAAAGATATTCTCGGCCGCCCTGGTGGTCTGTGGGGAAAATACCGCACTTGCAATTGCAGGAGCACCGACCCGCACCCACAGGCTCAGAAGTCTCGCGAGAGTCGGTCTTGCTTTACGGCGAGAACTGCTACACGCCCCCAGTTAAAAGCCTTCTCGTTGCTAGCGCAGTGGCGATCTTTGTGCAGTTATCATGGCGGAACCAGCGTGAAAACAGCGAAAGCCCATGTCGGAGCAGGCAGGAAAGAGGAAAAGGACTCCGGACAGAGAGAGGAGTCGTACACGGGTGAACATCGGGCAAGCTTTTTCCGAATGGCGAGAGCTAAAATAAAAAGAAGGCTGCAAGGCTGACGCGGACCTCGCGTTTCTGCTGATGCGATTGTAAGTAACATTGGAATGGTTTCTCTCTCTCTGTGGGCATGTTCATACTTTCACTGTGTCAGTCATTCGTTGCGTTCGCCTGTCTGCTAAGCTCAAAACAACCGCGCCTGGTTTGACGGAGAAACCAGGAGAACAGCTGAGCATATTTACGACGGTGCACTTTTACTTTCGCCCTCTGGGGGGAGCCTCGCTGGAAAATCAACACCGGTTGCATAGTGTACCTTTAATAACCTCTTCTAGGAAGGTCAGTGATGTAGTGTATCCGATGTCCACTAGAGGGCGGTGTTATTGGTTCTTGAGCAATGGAAGTAATACCAGAATGGAGAGATGCTGGAGTCGAAACAATCAATTCAAAGCTCAGTCTGGATTATTTCCACTGTTCAATGGATCCAATGATCCAGAATGAACCTTCTGTGGTTCCGTTAGACTTAGACAAACTTTATTGTCATTTTGTATGTTTACATTTGATCACCATGTTTACATTTTATCACTGCTGCAATTTGAGAAATGGAAATGTCTTGAGAGCTGTACTGAATGAAATTTTGTTTTGTATACACTCTGTGTATGACAAATTTTGGTCTGAGTCTAACTATACACAGAATGTATACAAAACTACATTTTGATGCATACAGCTTACAGCAGTGAATGAGCAGCTTTTAACATTGAAATGAACATTTCCATTTATAAAGTGCAACAATGATCAGAATGTCAACAGTTTAGGAGAAAAGGAAAACCTGTTTAAAGTCATGGTACAAAAGGCATTGATATAGAAAGGTTCAGTGCAGTGGGAATAAATAAATATGGTGCAAAACGCAGTGGAACATTGAGAGAACAGAGAGAACTTTAATGCAACATTTTTCTTCTTGCTTTGTGTTGGTTTATTACATAAAGTCCATGACAAAATAAAAAAACGAAAAGGATATACAGGTTTTTAGCAAAATGTTGAGAAGTTCCTGGGTTGTAAAGATCTATAAATTCACTGCTCTCTAAAAGAAAAAAAAAACAAGCCGTACCGTTTGGAAGTCAGGCATTCTGTGTTGACGTCTGACAGCAGTCCCAGCTTGTTGCACTCCTGCAGGAGCATGCCGAGGCAGTCGCAGCTGAGGGTAAAAGATGACGGGTAGGATATGATTAGAACACCTGAGTTTCCAGGTAGAGAAACTGAGTATTTGGAACAAAAGGCCGATTTGGATCCCTTACTTGCATCTCTGATCAGCTTTATCCAGCAGTGGTGTCAGTTTCAGGAGGTACTGGAACGCAATATTTACATCCTCTGTAAAATCCTGGAAAATAAAAAAACAAAACATTTGTCCTCATTACATTATTACTAAAACTAAAATACTGAATGTCGGTTAGGCTGCTAATATCTACCTGTCCTTTGTCTACTTGAGGATATTTCTTCAGTCTGAGCAGAACTTGTGGAATCTACAAAAGACAAGGACCCAGGGTTTTTATTAATATATAAAGACATCATGGAGGACTAGAGACCACATACGTCAGCCTGTTTGAATTATTGATGTGAACGCTAATGCAAAGAAACGGAGAAAAGACAAGCTTGAAGTGAAGAGATCATACACGAGGATATTTCTAAAAAGAAAAATGTTCAAGAAAAAGTTTGAAAAGATAAAGGCAAAGAGAAAAAAAAACAAGTTGGATTCCTTTTAAAAACTCCTTTTACTTTGAGGAAAGTGAAGGCGGTCCATTTTAGCTCCTCAGTGCCCTCCGGCGACTCGATGAGGCCCGTAAAACAAGCCTTCCAGATCTCCAGGACGAACAGGGGACCAGGGATCCGCTGAGGAGAACAGGCAATCCAATCAATAAACAAGGAAAATGATACCGGATCTAACGATTGGATCTCTCTGAGATTCTTATTTCCCCTAATCAACTATAATGAAGTTGCTAGAATTAGAGGAAATAAACCCTACTTTTTCTCTCAGTATAAACCTCATTTATCACCTTTGTTGATGTTTAAATTCAGCTGATGCACCAACGAACATCATTAGCTCTAGCTACAAATGCAATAATCAATCAGTTTATTCTTGATCAGTGCTGCAGCTCTAGATTAGTTCAGTCAGTAAATGATGTGGGGGATTTGTTTTATATAAATCTAAAAAATAGAAGTTAAAATGTAGTTTTAGAAGTTTTTTCCAAATTATCTTTGAACCTTTTTTAAAGTTTTTCTGCCACTTGGAACAACAAAAGAAATTCAAGTCGGATCAAAATCCTGATGATCACACTGCAGGTTGAAAAAAATGCTTAAACACATTTTACAACTATTTTTTTTTATTTTTATCTCAGAGTCAATAAAGACAAGCCACTGTCTGGATTGCAAAAAAAAAAAAAAAGAACAAACAGAGCAGCCTAATGCCCAGAGCACCGAGCGCCTGACCTCAAAATGCAGAAGGGGCAACGTTCCATTAGCCACTTCTTCAAGACAAACTCAAGAGCAGAAGATTTCAGTAGAGCTGCAGCCCCAAAAAGCATCACATTCATGTCTAGCTACAAGATTAGCAACAACAAAATGCAGTCAAAGCTCCAGAGTGGGCAAAAACATACCGATGCACATCTAAGCGAAAAAAACAATAAATAAATCAAGGTTTTTTCTGGCGACCTGTCCAGGGTGTACGCCGCCTCTTGCCCATAGACAGCTGGAGATAGGCACCAGAAACCCTCGCTCGGGATAAGTGTGTCAGAAAATGAATGGAAATCAAGGTTTTCATTGAAGCCTTAGAAGTTTGAGACTTGTCCTCCATAAATATAAAATCCCTCTCTTTGGTTAAGCTGCTCCTCTCCTCACTACTTTTCAGACATGAAGGTTTTAAAATGAAGCCAGTTCTAACACCTGATCACCAGAGTGAAACTACATATTAATGCTTTGCTAGTAACAATCTTTTTTCTCTCCTTTTGTCTGCAGCGAGGGAATCCTAACCTAGAAAGTTGATCAAAGGCTTCTTGGTGAGCTCATTCTGAGAATAAAACATTCAGTGGTACTTTCAGCTGTTTGACCTCTTAGTTTAGTTGGACTCTGGGTGTTTAGTTGAAGGGTTTATTCTTGGGCTGAAACAATTAATCGTATTAATTGTGATCACTCAACTATTTCAATAATTGTCAACTAATTTAGTAATTGATTAATCATTAACAGGAGTATAGAGACTCTAAAACATGTCTTTATCTGACAGAGCGACTCACTTAGAGCAGCAATAATAACATTGTAGAAAAACATGTAAACACTAGAGATAACAAAAAAGTTTTTGTCTGTCAATCTGCTCTGTTGTTTACGTTTCTAAAAATTGTCCAGTCACATTCAGAATACAAACTTCTGAAAGTAAGAAATTATTACATACTTTTTAAAAAATTATAACTTAAGAGTATTTTTCATTTGAATGTGCTTTACTGGAGGCGTCCATGTTTGTCAAAGAACACTACTGCCACCTACTGGTTTGTGACGTCACGGTGCGGTATCGGCTGTTGATCAAGTCCCTGTGCTGTATCTGGTGTTTGTCACAACGCACTATTATCCAAGTCATCTTGAAAACATTCTTCTTCCAAATGTTGGCTACATATTACGTGTTTTTTTCTCTGGCCAGAAGTTCGATGGCAAATCCTCCCTCTTCAAGTTGGCGATCCAACGACCAACCCGTCCGTGGAGGATCAGGAATCAGAAAGGTGAAATAAGTAATTTTTTTTACACTTTTAACCGATGTATTCCAGTTTCACTATAGCTCTGGTGAATTTCAATGGTGAAGTCCTCTGGAAATCTTCAATAATTGTTGTTGATTGCAGATGTGTCTAGTAGTTCCCATTGATTTAGCTTGTAAAGCGGGGAGAATGGCGCTAGGCTTACCGCACCGTGACGTCACTGCTGGAAGATGGCAGGAGGGAGGGGCTACTATATTTGGGAGAAAAGGGCCACTCCCAGACTCGATCAAGATGAAAATTATTTTTATTTTACTAACTGAATAATGCTAATTTCATTAAATCAACGCAAATGTCTTAGTTTTAGGTATAAATAATGATCCATTATTATTCTTTGCCGTCCGGACTTTTCCTTTAAGAAACCTTTGGCTATCAGCTTATTGTAATAATCGTTAGTTGTAGCCGTAGTTTGTTCAAATGCTCAGGTTCACCTGCATTCTTTTAATCGTCATCAGCTGCTCCACCAGAGGCTGCGTCTCCCCTGTCAAATTCATGGTTCCCTCCAGCATGATGAAAGCGTGGACAGACGGGAAGGAGGCGTGAGCAGGAGGCTCACACTGCACAGAGAGCATGTGGGGAATACTGGGGGACAACAGACACGGTTAATCATGTCGGACTGAGGTTCCTGTTGGAGTCGAACCAAATTCATCATCTTCACCTTTTCACCAAAGACAAGGTTTCCTCGATTGAAGTCCTCAGTGTCTGGTTTGGTACGTCACAGAGGCCGTCTGTCACTTTAATCATTGCTTGTTCAACGTTAGCCCAGGAACCTGTGGAGAAGCAGAAACTGTAAGGTCTGGCAGGCAGAGCAGGGTGCTTCAAAGATGTGGAGACGTGGTTTCCTTCCTTTTGGGTGTCAGGCTCTTATATCAAAGGCTCTAATGCAACTCTAAATACCTTGATCCTCCAGCCGGGCGATATGGACCAGAGCTTTGTTCTTGGTGCTGCTCACCAGGCCGTGCAGCCTTTCCTGGCAGGCTCTGAGGACGGCCTCTGTGCTCGCCGATGGTCCCAGTTCTCTCAGTTTGTCACAGTAAAACGCACATCCCTGCAGGAGCCACACCACCACCACCAGCAGGGCCCGGCACAATCCGATGCATTCCTCAGCCTTCCCGTGGCAGCTGAATGGGCACCAAACAAAAAGCAGAGAGACTCTTCTTGTTTATTTCCAAAAGCCTCGTGGAACGTTACTTTTTTTTTTTTAGAAAGTTACGAGTTTAATCTTGGTGTATTTAGCAGAGAAAAAAAATGATACAATAAGCACTAGAAAACTAGTAGGGCTGTGTTAAAAGAAAGTATTCAAATTTAGAATCAATTCTTATACCGATGCTCAAGATTAACTGATATAACCGAACGTCGATTTAAAAAAAGAAAAGAAAAAAAAAAGGGTCACCATGCTTATGACCATTAACTATCATTACTTCATTAAATCTGCTGTTGAATGTAAATAAAACACTATGCCAGAGCCAAAAATGTCATTTTTTAACATTGTTCATTACTGTGTATGCCTTCGGCATATTTAGATATTTTCTTAACAATAAGGTTCCATTTTTCTATGTTTTGTAGAAAAGCACCACCTAAAAGAAGTCATTGAAAATATACGAAAAGTGTCACGTCAGTTCAGAAAGAAATTAGAATGTGGTGTAGTTACCTGAGCTCTACAGTTTTTGACCGTTAAATGTGGAATGCTGTGCAAGATTAACAATCCTTCAGAAATATCTGCTCAAAGAAAAGTAAAGTTCGTCGTTCGTCAGAAATTGAGTGGATTAGTAAGTGCTTCTTTAATGCACAAGAACAAGCGTCAGCTCAGAGCTAAGTTAATCAACATCAATAAAAAATTAAGCTTGTTGAGCAATATAATGGCTTTGAACCAGAACAAGGCCTATTTTTTTTACAATTTTGGCATAATTACTGCTCCGGGTAGATGCTTTGGCAGCTATTGGCACATGTTAGTGGGTGTAAACAACAGTTAATGACTGATCAATTACTACATTGGTTGACGATTATTTCAGTAATCCATTATTAAGGATTAATCTGACTGACTGTGTCATCCCTAATGCCAGTTAGGAAACAGCTAAAAGACAGGTTTTAAAGGAGAACTTCTGAAACTTCTCAAACTTCTGAAAGTACTTTAAATATGAAATTATACCATCCTGTTCAATAAATGATAAGTGTTTCTAATTCAGAGTAATTTTCATTTGAATGTGCTTTACTGGAGGAATCCATGTTTGTCAAAGAACACTACTGCCACCTACTGGTTTGTGATGTCAGGGTGCGGTATCGGCTGTTGATCAAGTCCCAGTGCTGTATCTGGTGTTTGTCACAACGCGCTATTATCCAAGTCATCTTGAAAACATTCTTCTTCCAAATGTTGGCTACATATTACGGGTTTTTTCTCTGGCCAGAAGTTCGATGGTAAATCCTCCCTCTTCAAGTTGGCAATCAGAAAAATGAAATGACTCATGTTTTACTTTTACCCGATGTATTCCAACATCCAGCTGCCATGCACGTGGGCATTGTCAGTTTCACTATAGCTCTGGTGAATTTCAATGGTGAAGTCCTCTGGAAATCTTCAATAATTGTTGTTGATTGCAGATGTGTCTAGTAGTTCCCATTGATTCTGCTTGTAAAGCGGGGAGAATGGTGCTAGGCTTACCGCACCGTGACGTCACTGCTGGATGATGGCAGGAGGGAGGGGTTACTATATTTGGGCAAAAATGGCCACTCCTAGAGTCAGTGATTGCGACGAAAACTATTGTTTTTATTTTTTTACTGATTAAAGCTAAATTTTTTAAATCACCGCAAATGTATTAGTTTCAGGTGTAAATAATGATCCATTGATCATTCCTTGCTGACCGGACTTCTCCATTAAATAGCAGGATTCTAATTTAAGATAAAAAAAAACAGTATTATTAATCATTATTAAAAAGATGACCAAGTTGTTTCCAGCTATGAGGGAGTAATCCAATCATTTTTCCCATGGATAATAACAAAAACATACGCTTACAAACACATCAGTTGGTTATGATATCAGACAAATAAACTAATGTCATAATTTACAGATATTTATATGGATATTTATTTATATGGATTGTTGTCATATAACCCTAATTGATATTGCAGTGAATATTTGGGTATTTTCTAGTTTATAATTTGCATAATTCACAAGATGTTAAATGTAAACATACTTGAGACGATGGCAGAACATGTCCATTATCTCCAGCAGTGATTTGACACACAGCTCCCGAGAAAAACCGTCAAACTGGAAAACATGAAAAAAATCATGAAGCAGAGATTAGGCTGTAATAACAAACTATAAGCCATTAGTTTACCTTGCTGATGGCTGTGAGCACACTGGAATAAGACACCATCTGAAACAAATCAAACACTTACTTAATTAGCAGAACATAGTTTAACATCATGCTCAGTTATAGAACTTTTTCTTCTACCTGTGAACTTATAGCATATTTAAGGTAGGACAAAATTAGTGGGTTGGGAGATGGTCCAATCATCGCTTGTTCCATCAGAGCCTCTGAAACACAGACAGAGCATTTAAACCCGAGGAGACAACGTCAGTAAATGAACCAATTTAATGTCAAGTGAGCATAAAACCTGCAAAGTTGAGGTAGTCCCACGTTGCCCCTTTAGGGAAGTTTTTCTTAATGTTAATTGCCCATTGATAGGCACTCCATCGCTCCTTCCAAGCCTGTAAAATGGCTTGCTTTAAATTCACCACCTTCATCCTAGTCGGACTCAACACCTGAACTAATAAAAAAACACACACAGAAAAGACGCATCTTGCAATAATTATGTATCATAAAAACATCAAAAGCTTGCGCAATTCATTCACCAATTTGCCCGTCGGTTAGCATGTTAGCCGTTAGCTGTTCATCACTCATTAAGTTTACTCTTATACAAACTACCTCAAAGTGCACACATGAAGATGCTTCACAGAAAAACGGAAATGGATTTGCTAACGCAAACTTACCTACTCCAATGGTTTGTTAAGGCTTTAATTGGTTTTGTTTATAAATCTATTGTGTCTACTGACTCCAGGAAGTGACGTCAGCTACGTTAGAAGACGCTTCCTTCTTTTGACGGCTGGCAAACAAACTGGAGGTGTATTTACCGCCACCTACCGAGCTGAAGTTAGAACGTCGATGAAAATAAGGGCGAATTGTATAGAATACAATAGAATAGAATAAAAAAGAAAAGAAAATCCCTGTTTTCCCACAATGGGGAAATTCTGGGTTTACAGTAGCAAAGAGATTATAGGAAAAATGGTCCCACAAATATGGACCTTAGAAAAGTGCATAAGAATAACATAATACTGAAGAGTATGTACGTATGTTTAAACCTGAATATACAGTGCCCTCCGCAATTATTGTCACCCCTGTTTAAGATGTGGCCGAGGACTTAAAAAAATTCTCCTTTTATTTTAAACAACAAAGAACCCAAATGCAAAAAAGAGAAAAATCCAACCTTTTATTTAAGTACATTACTTTGATGGTAAAAATAAAATCACACATTTAGAAAGTAAAAAACATGAAATCATATGTTCCACAATTATTGGCTCCCCTGATGTTAATACTTTGTACAGCCCCCTTTTGCCAACAAGACAGCACTTAATCTCCTATAACATTTCAAAAGATTGGAGAACACAGAGAGAGGGATCTTTGACCATTCTTCTTTGCACAATCTTTCTAGATCATTCAGTGTCCTGGGTCCTCTCTTGTGTACTCTCCTTCTTAGCTCGCCCCACAGGTTTTCTATCGGGTTGATGTCTGGGGACTGAGGTGGCCATGGGAGGACCTTGTTTTCGTGACTGCGGAACGATTTTTGTGTAGGTTTTTGCCACATGTTTCGGATCATTATCCTGCTGAAAGACCCACTGACGACCGATCTTCAGCTTTTTGGCAGAGGCCATCAGGTTTTGATTTAAAATGTCCTGATATTTCAAAGTGTTCATGATGCCATGCACCCTAACAAGCTTCCCAGGGCCTTTGGAATAGGAACAGGCCCACATCATTACAGATCCTACACCATACTTCACCGTGGGCATGAGGTGCTTTTCGGCATACTCATCTTTTGATTTACGCCAGACCCACTTAGAGCGTTTGCTGCCAAAAAGTTCAAAGCAAAGCACACGATCCCAGTTGAAGTCCCAGTGCCGCTTAGCAAACTCTAGACGTTTACGTTTGTGAGTGTTGGTGAGAAAAGTATTTCTCCTTGCATGCCTTCCAAACAGCTCGTTGGCATGCAGAGAGCATCTGATGGTTGTTTTGGAGACTTTGTGACCCCAAGATTCCACTCTTTGTTGCAATTCTGTGACAGTAAGCGTAGGACTTCTTTTCACTTCTCTAACCATCCCCCTCACTGTGCCTTGTAGCAAGATAAACTTGGGACCTCTTCCAGCCTTGTTTCTCACTGTTCCAGTTGTTTTAAACTTCTTAATGATTCCTCTGACCGTAGATACAGGTAAGTTAAGGCGAGTGGCTATTATCTTGTTAGCATTGCCTGACTTATGAAGGCCGACGCACATCTGCCTTACTTGAATTGTGTGTTCTCTTGTCTTTGCCATGCTGTTTCATTGGTAAGAGAATTAGGCCTCTGCGTCACGTCATATTTATACCCCAGGGGAACAGGAAGTCATGAATTACTAATTAAAAGTTCCTAGATACCCTGATCAACTTTAGCAACTACAGAAAAACACATTTAAAGAAAATCAATTACATTTTTTAGCTGAATTGTTAGGAGTGCCAATAATTGATTTCTAAATGTGTGATTTTATTTTTACCATCAAAGTAATGTACTTAAATAAAAGGTTGGATTTTTCTGTTTTTTGCATTTAGGTTCTTTGTTGTTTAAAAGAAGAGAATAATTTTTTAAAGTCCTCTACCACATCTTAAACAGGGGGGCCAATAATTGCGGAGGGCACTGTATACATTAAATTCTTACTGATGGTGGTCAAAAGGCCTGGTGGCACCAGTGTACGGCAGCGTTGCTTCTGTCAGTGAGCCCCAGGGCAGTTTGCCACCATCAGTGTGTGAATGGGTGAATGAATGAATGTAGTGTAAAGTACTTTGGCCAGGTCTCCTGACTTGAAAAAGTGCTATATAAGTATAGGCCATTTACCATTTACATGTCATATTCATGAGTCTTTTTACTGCCAGAGTCTGAAATAGACTCAAACGACCCTTATGAGTCATTTGGCAAGAGAGTAAAAGAGTAATTTCCGTATTTCTTTAGACAAGACTCAAGCCTGTGGAAAATTCTTGTGCAGCCTGCTCTCAAAACAATAGGTGTTATTTTGGATTTATCAAAATCTCCCCTGGAAGTTATGGGCACAGAAACACTAACCCCGCAACATGTGCTTATTGTTTTTTTTATATATATATCTCAAACTGCATCCTGTCAAAGATAAAGTGTGAACTATGTTTTTTTTCCTTCTCCCTCCCCAATGTGGCTACTATCTTTCCACAGAATAACGGCAGCGCTATGGGGAACCGCCTCAGAATGAGGCCCTTGGCAGTCATAAGAACCAGCCAAACCTGCGGCACACATGACATCAGTAGATAGTTCGCCCTTCCAACCCCACCACAATTTATGTGATGTATGTGATGAACGGTTTGCACTGAAACTGAAATCTCGTTTACAATGCAATTTGTTGTTGACAATAAATAAATTGATTGATTGATATTTTCTTCTTTACACCAAAATGTATTCAAGTTAATGAAAAAAAACAGGCAAATATCTAAAACTTAACTGTGTAAGACCAAAAAAACAAAAACAAAAAACAAACAAACAGTGAAAACAGAAAACAATATAACGTTTCATAATATTTCAGATTGGTGCATTAATGGTTGTCAGAAATTCTTGGACATTTCCAATAAAGATTAATTCTTTTCTCAGGATGAAGCTCAGAATATTTATTTTTTTCAATTTTGGGCAATACATAGAGCATTCATTACGAGTCCAGAACTCATGTACAGCCTAACTTATGCATAACACGCGGCACCGTAATGATCATGAAATGATGCACAAGCATTTTGTACTGTCCCTGAAAAAATAATCAAATAGATAAATAAAAAAAAAGACCAGGAAAATATTTATTAAAATACAGGAATATGGAGGGTAAAAGGAAAAGAACTGAAAAAATACACTTCTCTCTCAAAAATGAAAATACAAAATCTGTAAAAATAATAAATAAAGAAAATAGAAAACTACCGTCAATAAAAATAATGGAAAAAAGATTCCCTCTATATATGATCACAGTTGTTCTGACTTGCTGTTCTTTTAATGAAAACAATTTTAGAAAACCCTCTGCTTTATTTGTGCCTAATCTCAAACACATGTCAGCAGATTTATCCTTTGTACATTTATGTAAGCTAAAAAGACCCAGATTGTTAAAGTACGATTCATCCATCATGTGGTGATATTATTGCAGGTTTACTTTGACCCTTCTTTCTGCTAGTGGGATTATAATGATTCCTGGGTGGTGAAAGAGGAACTCGGTTTGTCCATTAGAAAGTATTCACACAATCCTTATAATGGTAGCAGTGGCCTACAGGTGGGTCAATGATTCCCATTTCCATCATGACTCATGTGCAAGCAGACTGAGTATTTGGAGTACAGAATGCAAATGTAACTCAGGGTTCCGTTTGAAGGACATATATGCAAAGCTAACAGGATTGATGTTTAGTATTCTAACGATAAAATAAAGGAACGTACATAAATAGTCTTGCACAAGGAGGTGACACAGGAAGCACATGGACCATGGAGCAGTAAGAAGGAGAATGAAAGGAAGAAGAGGTGATGGAAGAAACAAGAGCAGAACAGCGAGAACCAATGAGAATATACTGTACGTTAAGGAAGAGGGGGAAATGAAAAGAAGATGATATCGGATGTAAGAAAGGAACAGCTGAGACAGAAAGAAGACAGAGGAGATGAGTACTTGTATGATCTGGTAAATTATAAACGCGTTGAGATGACATGTATTGTGAATTGGCGCTATATCAATAAACTAAATTGAAACTGAATTTTTTTAAAGTCGAAAAATTGTTGGAATTTTTCTTTTTTTAATGAAGTTGGACTTCTGACATTTGTGGAGGATTAGGAGAATCAAATTAAACATCTAAACCCAGAATCAGAAATCCAGTTTAAAAAGGCGTTTTATCTAAAAAAATAAAGATAAAGTAAAACTAAAAACACATTTGTTTAGGATTGCCTTCGACTGTTCTAGTTAAACAATTCAACTAAAACATATTTTCTTTAATCCAACTGTTTTTAATATTCTTTTTTTTGTTTCTGCATTTTTTATTTTATTTTATTTATTTTTTATTTTTTTTTAATTATTTCCTACTTGCTTTGATTCTGTTTTATCTTCCTGTATTTTAATCATGTAAAGCACTTTGCTTTGTCTTTGTACTGAATTGTGCTATACAAATAAATTTGCCTTGCCTTGCCTAAAGTGGAATTTTTAATCCAGAATTAAAGACTGCCGTTGGAAAGTTATTCTCTAATCCTATCACTAAATGCAGATTTGAAAGCCATAAATAAATCTGATTATCAGCACATTTGATCTCTCCAATATTATTTCCCATTATGGTCCTTTGGTTAGAACTATTCATACAATGTTTATTAATAACTCAACCTCAAAACATAAAAAATATAGTATGAAGAGAACGAATTAAACCCAACGTGTTATTGTGTTAGACGCACCCACTACCAAACTCTCAGCCAATGGGTCTTATTTTCAAAATCTGCATCAGAATTTCCTTATTACAGTTAATTTTTCTTTATTAATAATACACATGTAATCCAGATTAATCCAGAGCTTTAAATGTTCAGTGTACTGATAAAAACTAAAATATGTTACACTAACTCAACACGTTTAAGATAGCAGGATTTTTATGAAATAAGAAGTTTCAACTATAATTAATCACCTTGGGAAGGTGATGCTGGTTAAACCAAACAATAGGAAATAATCTTCAACAAGGACTAAATGCCTTTATAATAAGGATAAATCAACGTTAATAAAATAGATGTAAATGTTTTTAAGTTGG